GCATAAATGTCGAAACAAAAACGGGAGAGGTTTTCTCATCCACTTATGCTTCATTTCGCATTCGACAAGAGAGTAAAAGTTATGAGTTGAGACTTGGAGAGATCATAAATGACGATGGTGGTAAGTACTATTTTTACTATATTTTGACGTCCTTTATCATTCCGTTTTTGTTGGTAATTATGTTTAGAAGAAAAAACAGAATAGATAAAACACTGTGAAATTGAAATTTTGTTGAACTTTTTATTTTATCTTTGAATTTCATTTCCTTGTTATCAATAATAACAACAACAACTAGAGCAGTCACTAGGGTATGCACCGCCCCTCCACCCCCATGATATTGATGATGATTAATTATGATTAAAGGATAATGATTAACGATCGTAAAATGTATTAATGATGATGATTATGTTTATGAAGATAATTAATGATGATGAAGATAATTAATGATGATGATGATGAGGAGGAGGATGATGATGATGATGATGATGATGATGAGCGCAGATACGCCGAAAACAAAGACTGTAAAGTTGTTAATTGGCGCCTGCATATGATTGGCCCACCGAATAACACGTAGGCCTATAAAATATTAGAGGTTATTAGAGTAAATACACAGACACTTGACCTGAGTAAACCCAACAAAAAAAAAGTATTTGTTAAAACCGCAGGAAGTAGAAAACATTTGAATATTGAAACACGATCAGGTTATAATCTGGAATGTAGGTTAGATGTGTTGGGTTTACATAACCATAATTACATATTTTAAAAATAATTTTTTACTTTTACTTTTGAAACCATAGGTCCAGTAATCCATAATGAAATCAGTGCAAAATTCTCAACCTACGACATGAACAACTGCGCTTTAGAAAATGGTGGCGGGTGGTGGTTTACCAGTTGTCGGTATTCCTGCTTTATAAACGGTTTATATAATTCGAGTTTCAAGTGTAATATTAATGAAAAAATGCAACAGTTAAGTAGCTCAGTAATGATGATAAAGCGTGTTTAAAAGTCATTTTCGCTGTTTGGAAAAACTTTGTCAACTATTCATAATACTGTATGTATAATCTCATAGGCCTACCACCAAATGTACGTATAAAGAATGGTCGACAGACACAATACCCTATAGCCAGACGAAGTTTCATATGCACTTTGAGGTCCACAGAATATGAGTTCAGAAATTGATGTAGAGTGGTCAAACAATCATTTTTTTAGACTAACACCAACACATTTTTAAAATCTGGCGAAAGATCAAAATGTCAGGGCCAAACGTCAGTGGCGTCACGGAGTTTGTGGGGCCCTGACGCCGACTGTGGGGGCCCTCATACATGCCAACAAATTTTCAGGCGAAGAATTTTGTTAAAAAAACCTCCCTGGGGTGGGGGAGTGTCTGGGACATCCCCGATTTTTTCATGAGAATGCATATTTCTGCCGTCCACGAACGAACATATCTCACTGACATGAGCCGCGTGCGTGGCAGTTGGCAGTGTGTTCTTGATATTGATGCAGCTAGTTTGATCTGATGATCTGATCAAAAAACTAGTAAGGGAAACACTATATTTTTTGCTGACAATTATCAGATTTATCATCTAAGAATACATGAGCTACCATAACAAAATAAATGTATAATTACACGATAATACTGTAAACCTAATTTACTTTACTAATATCTTTAGCCAGGATGACACAATCATTTCTGTCTCTTATACCCATTAATTTTAAAAAAATTTTTTTCAATGTAGGCCTGGAAAAAAAAAAAAAAAAAAAAAAAAAATTATAATATTATTAACAACGATAATAACAATCATAATAACAATAATAATAAACAACAACCAAAAAATAATAATGTTAAACAAAACACAAGAGAACACACCCAGAGTCAGGCATTAATAATCATAATCATTATTTAGTAACCGTTTTCCTCCCCAATTCCACTTTTTTTTTTCTTTCCTTTTTTATTCTTTTTTTTTCCCTCCATTTCCTCTTCAGAAATCACGAAAATGGCAAATGCGCGCCCCCGCTTTTGAGATGACGCCGCCATCACTACCGTGTACACGTATGAAAGAGACATCAGAAAAAAAAAACTAAATATTTTAAGTTGAAGCTGAGCTCATTGTTTTTGTGTCAAATTGCTCAAAATATATACCTATTATTTAAATTTAAATTAGTTCAAAAGTGAAGGCTTTGACAATAAAAAAAAAATGTTAAGTTGACGTATTTTTGGAACATAATTTATTTACCACGCATATTTCGTCCACTCCTGTGGACTTCATCGTCGTAAGTGATATGTATTATAGATAGTTGCTGAAAATAATCTAAATGAGAAATATACAAAAAAATATTAAAAAACGAAACTAAACGGGCTTCTGAAAAGTGGTCGCTCATGGATGTTCAACTGCAATATGTTTATTGTATAGGCCTAAACTGTGTAATGCATTTTTAAAAGATACATATTTTGTAAAATTGGACAAAAATTTTGCATTTATATTATTATTTATGCATCAGATTTCACTTAAAGCAATAAATGTTAATTGAATTGAAACTTTATAAGAACATTTTGTGTTTGCTGTGTACATTTTGCAGTGTTAGAATTTACAAATTACGGGCGATAAAAGTACTAAATACATAAACCTCTGGACTTGTATTAAGATGCATGCGGTGTGACGTTACTATAATTGAATTACCAGTTTCAAAACCTTAAACATTTCACTGTGCAACGGTGTAGGCATAACTTGAGTTTTGTTTGAATTACTTCTTTACGCTCTGGAAATACCGTATTCTGTTCAAAATTGATAGTAAACTGTGATACAGTAAGTAGTACCATAGAGGAAATAGAGCATATTTTCTCTATGGTAGTGCAGTACTAATTAGTTTTCGAATTAGCTGAATTTGATATGCAATTTAAACAGTAGGCTTACAAATTAATACTTATACAAGATACAATTTGATTCAAATTAGATACATAGCATTTATGTTTCCACTGGTAATAACCGTCAAAAGTCACTCGAAAACAAAATCTCAATATTTATTTTTTTGTTTTGAATGGTAAATAAATTTTTAAAAATAAATAAATAGATAAATAAAACACCCTAAAGAAATATAAAGAAAGAAAGCAAGAAAACCTGAACTGAAGAAGAAGAACCAGAACCAACACTTAAAGATTAAAATATATTGCATGAACGTTTTACCGCAATTACACCTCATCACAAGTTATCGGCGCTAACAATAGGTCTACACATCGTTCGTCATTACAATTAAAAGGGGTCTTGACATAGACAGAATGGCGAACTTAATAACATACATCTAATTTTGCCCTTCGTGTTCCTGTCCGTATTTTAAGAAATAATGATGTTCTTTACGTTCCTTTAAGTAGAGTCAATATTTTAAAAAACGGGTTTATTAGTAAATAAAGTTCCTCTTAATTTACAGGACGATTTATCCACAAATGGAAGTACACATTTGCACCGGAAATAGCGCCCTCGATATTACTATAATAATATATGCATGATTAGGTAGACGAACTATAAAACGAACTAAGATTAAACACAGTGACACACTTTAACTTAAGACGTCAAAACGACTTAATTAATTGTCAGGATATAAAACTGAAGATATATAAGCCGATATTTTTTCGCCCCATCATGGAATACGTAAGTCATACCTGGATACTTAAATTATTTAGGCCTAGATTAATAAAAGCTATAAAAATTGTCTGCAAGGAATTACATTTTCTATAAAACCAATTGCAAGAAAATGTTTTATTGCTAAAATAAATGTGTAATATGGACCACACTAAGCATGAAAAAACAACGTTAGGACATTTTCGGACATCTTGAATTCAAAATTGCCGCCATTCATTTAAGGTTTAATAACTTCTCAAACGTCTATTTTTTGGTAGGTGTTTTTGTCAATGTTGTATAGAAACGTTTAGCTACTCAGAAAACCCTTAGAATGGTGGGTCAAAATGTCAATTTCGGCGCCATTTTGCACATTTAAGGATTAATGACTCGTAAACGAGTATTAGGGTACATTTTTCTGTTAATGTTAAAGAGAAATATGCAATTTGCTACCAGAAAACCCTTAAAATGATGGGTCTTCTTAAAATTGCTAAAAAGAAGTACTGTACTACACAAATTTGTTTGACAAACTTAAATTGAATATTAAAGGTGCTTGGCGTTTTATCTGTTCTCTCCTTAAACCATCAATCAATAAATACATCTAAAATTGGGATTAATAAAAGACTCCCACATAGTTGAAAATTCGTTAAAAACAAATATTTCAAAAATATTGGTCCGAAGCTTGCTAACAAATTCCATAATAATACATCTAAAACCTTTCATGATTACTCGGATCCTCCCAATCCAAACTCTTTATTTATTTCTGCAGTTATTGAAGAAGTTTATACAATGGACCTTTCCGCTAAGCCCCGCCCCTTGGATATTGTTGCTAAGGTCCCACAAGACGACAGTGTTAAATCATGGATAATTATTGAGGAGATCGCTCGAAAAAGTCACGCGTACGCAACGCTATGAAATGAACTGAGAACAAAGTTGCCGCAGCGCATGAAGAACGTTTGTGCGATGCCTTTGAAGTCTGATATGTTCTCGCCATCAATTAATGCTCAGCAGGCTTTAGTTTACTAAAAAATTGAACATGGCGAAATGGAGAGCTTCTCCTTTTCTCAATGCGCACTGCATACAGTAAACCACTATGGCTGCGCAGTCGTTTCCATTTTGAAGCCGATACATTTATCTCCCATGAAATATCAAAAATATTAATATTTTCTACACTAAAGAGTTTCGAATTTCATGAAACATTTACATGAGCTTTGAAAGTATAGTATATTTCAACTTCAATTACCATAAATTGGATAAAATTCGATAATTCTAATTTTAACAGATATTAATTAATAAATGATTGAGAATTATGATAAACTAAGTCATTTTAGGGTTAACGAGACTTAACTATTCGAAAAATCAATCCAAAGTCAGAGTGATTTTCAGTTTTACTCTGCCTTAGCATTTTAGTCAAACCAGTCAATTTTTAGACAAAATTATTGTACAAACGACGGAGTATTCAAACACGAGAACTTTTTTCAATTCCTTTCTTAAATAATTTGGCGTTCCTAAAAGAAGCAAACAAAAACAAACCTTACAATAATTCAACACAATGTCATTTGCTATGCCTAATTATCAAAGCAGCTCATTAAACATTCTCATTTAAAGTAATTGGCCTATAAAGTTCACTTCATTAATTTCCTAGATATGTTACAAAGCATCCAGATTTAATTAAACGATTCATCATAAAGGTTATAATCATGGTATGTAAATGATTATTAATTATCTATGATTATCTATAATTATACAGATTCTATCAATATTGTGAATAGCCTATCTTCGACTACCTAATTAATATTCATGTTCATGTTCACTCAAGCGTGAAGAAAGAAAATGAACAGCGACGTTCTTCAAGACCTATCAAGTTATGCGATTGAACTTTTCGTAGTACAATAAAACATTTTGTCGCTCACATCACGAACTAACACAATCAAAGTAGGTTGTGTTAGTTCGTGAAATCACAGTAGCGCGTCAAAACGAGCGCGTATTGGTTGTCAAGCAATTTTGTATTCTTTACCACACAAAAAGTCCTTAACAACAACAGCGCGTATTTTGACGCGCTTTTTTTTATTTCACGAACTAACACAATTGAATTTAATTGTGTTAGTTCGTGATGTGAGCGACGATTTATACCATTATTTTAACACTATATCCTATTTTTATCTATTCTTTCTATAACGTAGCTGCTAACTATAAATCAGGGATACAGGATATTATGTTATATTAATAATACAAATACTGTCTTATTGTGAAATTTATGTACAAAGTTTAGCTCGGTTTAACTGGCCTAGGCTACGTATAACCATGGAGGTATTATTGAGGAGATCACTCGAAAAAGCTACGCGCACACACTATGCAAATGAAGCAAGATCAAAGCTGCCGCAGCGCGTGAAGGACGTTTGCGCGATGCCTTTGAAGTCCCATGTGTTCCCCGCCATCAAATTTTAAGCAGGCATAGTTTACCAAAAAATTGAACATGGCGAAATGGAGAGCACCTTCTTTTCTCAATGCGCACTACATACAGTCAATCACTATGGCTGCGCAATTGTTTCCATTTTGAAACTGATACATTTATCTCTCATAAAATATCAAACATATTAATATTTTCCACCAAAAAAAGTTTCGAATTTAATGGAACATTTACATGACCTTCAAAAGTATAGTATATTTCAACTTCAATTTCCATAAATTGGCCAAAATTCGCTAATTCTAA